AAGCTGACCTCTTTAACAAATTCTTTGCCTCCATATTCCTGAACAGTGGAACTATGCTTGCTGCGAGTAATTGCTATGCAGTTTGCAGCAAGCTGAAAGGTTTAGATGTAAAAACCCAAACTCTTTCTTTGGCTATTATAAATAATTGCTTAGCTGTATTATTTCTGAAGAGTTAGGAATGTGGATCACTTTTTAATCTTTTTTTTGGTTCTAGTGAAAAATGTAAATAGATCATCTTTAGAGCTATTTCCAACTTACAAATAGTCACATGACAATGTTTTTAATCAACACATTCCTTATCAAAGCATTACAGTATAGGTACAAAGGAGCTTTCTCCTCTGAAAGTTCATAAATGGGAACTAGTGGATACTACAGTGGATTTGTAAGGCACTCTATCAAGTCTTCAGGAATTGTAATTTTCCTGCCTCTTTTACTTTTATAAAGTTTATTTTCATTCTTCTCCCTTTTATGTTTACTTTGCAGTGTTTAAAACAGCAACACTGACTTGTGTTTAATCTCAACCCAGTGTTTTCTGTAGTTACATTTTGCCTACTTGATAGCTTTTGCTGTTTACATCTCCAGTTACTTGTTCTTAATATTGCAGCTAACTAAAGTAAGTTCTACTTTTTCTGTGTTAATGGTTGAAATGAAATTTCATTTGCTTCTCTTTGGAGAAATGAAATAGTTGCAAAATTCTACTTTGCAATTTAATACGTAGGTAAAAACTTCAGTCTGTAGTACTTGCATTCTTATGATTTAGGAAAAGTTAATGTGAATCACTGTGGTAACAAAGTAGGAGTATAAAAAAACAAATATCTAGGATGAAAAATTACTTAAAATATTGCTAAAGCTGTTTCATTTTATACAAATTATTTTTAGTAATGTAAATCTTGAGTATGACTTGAAAGTGAAATGAAAAATGTTTTGATTAATGGGTGTAATTCCTAATTTTTTTTAAAGCTATTTCTCTCAGATCTTGGAGGAACATGGACCCATGGAGATTGATGATAAATTATTAGTTGGAGAGTATGAACATTTCCCTGAAGAAGCTCATAAGATTGTGGAGAATGCTGGAGGTTTAAAACCTTTCCTTCTGAGATCCGTTCATTTTGTTTTGGTGGACAACTGTATTGGTTTGATGAAGCATGCCATTCTACTTAAAGGAAATGCAGACATCCTAGCTGAAACTAAAGAAGATACTAGAAATGAAGAAGAAAATTGCATAGCCTGGCCAAATATTCAAGGAAACTCTTCTAAAAGCAAACTACAGTTAAACCCAGCTGCTAAGGAGTTCAAACCAGTGTCTTATATTAATAAACCTTATATGCCAGTTCCTACTGATAATACATTAGCAAGCTACGAGACTCAAGAATGTTCAGCCATAGGACATTCCTCACATATTTCTTATAGTTCAGTGCATTCTTTGCCAAATAAGAGCACTGATACCATAGAAGAAGCAGTATCCTTTTCAAATATATTACTACCCTCAGTAATTCCTAATAATCGCAACATACTTCTGACTGATTCCTCAGTTTATCAGAATGAAAGAATGTTGCCAATCCTCTCTCAACTGCCTTCTGTTCCAAATGTTGCCAGCCAACCTAGTTATATATATGCTGATTATGAAGCACATCTTGATATTGATGAAACTGCAATATCAGACAGAAGGTGCATCTCTGGCATTCTCCTACCAAATCTAATGCAAACATACCAGGACACTCGGTATGTAGTGGAGAACTTAAATTTTGAGTTCTGTGGAAATAATCTTGATGGGGTAAATAATACGAGTGAAGCTAAATATGATACATCTGCTATTAAAAAGGAAATAGAAAATAAAAATTCATCTGTAGTGAAAAACCATCCACATACAAGGATGATAGCTGTCCAGGTAAGAAGTAAAAAGGAAGAAAATCTTTTGACGGCTCTTAATTGATGATGACAATGTATGCGATCTTGTATTTGGTACTAATCCTTTACCGTGAGGTAGTACAGGTGGTACAGGTCAATATTAAATTTATTTTAAAGGTCAGGACAGCTCCTTTTCTCTTAATTTTACTTAACAGAGGGAATTTTACTTAACTTTAGAGAGAATTAAATAATTTATTTAAAGAAAAAAATTGCATCTAAATTGTGGTGAAGGGAGATGTTCAATTCAAAACATCTGTGTTTTCTTAGTCTTCTGATAAACATCATTAAATTTCACTTAAAGGGTGGGTTCATAAACATTTGCAGGATTGGATGTTTTATAGTTCTCCCAAATCAGTCAACTGACACTTACCATAGTTAAATTGATATAAGTTGGTCATGTTAATGGAAGAAGGCTGAAATGTTTGTATGGACATGAGAAGATATTTTGAAAGTTGGCTAGTTTACCTATTTTTATCAACCTTTCCCCTCTTTTCCCCCCAATAAACTTCTCTATAATTTTATTCAAATGAGAAATTAGGGAATAGGAGGAGTCTGCTTACAATACCCCTTTTTTAGCAACTGGAAAACAACCATTGTGTTCTATTAATTTCATAAAATGTCCTGTGAACTATAAAATACTTAAGAATACATTTTGCTTACCTAGTAATGAGACTTATATCTTACATTTTAGTTAACATTTCAGTTTCATATTTAAATCTACAAAATCAGCAAAAATAAATTTGATCTAACTCTTTTGGTATAACAGAATATTAAAAATATAAGGTGCTGGTGACGTTTTATTTCCTCTCAATTATTAGGGATTTCCTAGGGGTTATAATGAATTAAAAAAAAAAAATGTTGTGTGTATGATGATGACAGTAAAAAGAAAAGACCTTCTTTGCACATAGTCCAGGAATCATAAAGTTTAGGGGCATAGAAAAGTATTTCTTGCTGCAGATAAGCTTTTGACAGTGCCTTCTAATTGCAGTTTGCATTTCTGAAGTCTATTGCATGCATCTTAAGGAAACATAACATTGGCAATATAACGGTCCAGTGTCAGAGTAATAAATTAGTATTCAGACAAGAATGAGACCCTTTTGACTTTGATATTACACAACCAAGTACAGGCATCTTCCATGAAAACAGCTTTTCCAGCACATTTTTCAGGTCCTTTGGTGACCAGCTTGTGATGATGGGAGGAGGATTGTGAGGTCTGGAAGTTCCTAGTCCATGAACTGCCAGAAAGGCGGCAGTTATAAGAAGCTCATCTAACACTTGGAGCCAGGAGTGTGATCTGGCAGCTGTAACTGTGACTGAGCAGCCCTCTTCAGGATCCACTGTGCTCACCTCACATGGGGAGTGGGCTAGAAAAGTTGCCTTAAGCATAGTCTGGCTACTTTTTTTATCTGACTGGCTAACTGCATCCAGTGGGATCAACTTTTACCATGGTCAAAAGGAACAGAGACACCGTGAATAGTGTCCTGAATATCAGGACACTCATGGACAATCCTAATAGTGAACACCCAGAGCACTGCACCACAATTGTTGCTTAAGAACTTGGGCAACACAATGTGGATGTCACTGCACTGAGCAAGAACCCAGTGAGTGGGAGATAAGACACCTTAAACAAGGAGGCAGCTATACTTTCTTCAGGAAGGAGAATGCCAGCTTCTTGGAGTTGGATTTGCCATCAAAAATGAACTCATAAACCAACTCAGCAAGGTCTCTATCAGAATTTATGAGTGCCTCTCCCTCTTAAACTGGCAGGGAGCCAATACACCATTGTCATCAGCACATATGCCTTGACTCAACTCTACTGATGAAACCAAGGAGAAATTCTACAGCAACCTTGACCAAGTCCTATCTGGTGTCCCAGAGAGGCAGACTTACTCTCCTTGTTGATTTCATCACCAGAGTTGGAAGGGACTCAAGCCTCTGGAATGGAACCATTGACAAGGAAGGAACGGGAAATATCAACTCCAGTGGCATCTTCCTTTTGACCAGATGTTGGTGGTGGTGAGTCCACCCTGTTCTGTCAGAAAGAGACATCATGGCAACACCCACAATTCAACCATTGGCACTTGATTGACTATGTCATTGTTCGTGCCTGAGATGTCCACATCACCTGAGCTTTCTTTGCAATGCTAGGAGTTGATGATCACTGGACTGATCATTGACTCCTACACTCAGTTATGTCATTCAGACTGGCTCCCAAATGACAGCTGCAGCAGAAGTAATGCTGACAGAAAACTGGCAAATTCCAGTCAACATTAATGGGAGAATGTCAGCAATGTTTGGTATGCCTTGAAGTCCACTGGCAGCAGCACCTGCAAAGAGACTCTTGGATTATCTACCAGGAAAAATCAAGACTGGTTTGATGAGAGTGACTGGAATATCCAAGAGTTGATTGACTGCAAGTGCAAGGCCTTTTTGTGCTTGGCAGAGCAACATCAACTCCAAGCAAATGAAATTTGAATCTCCAACAAGCCAAGGCAGAGGTCCGGAGGAGGACCCGCAATATGAAGAATAGATTGTGAGAAGGTGAGGTGAAAGTGATTGAACGTTTTGCCGACTTCCATGTTATGTGCAGCTTTTTCAGTCCCACCAAAGCCATCTGTGGTCCAAGCACTTGGGGACCTACCCCTTTGAGGCCTAAGGATAGAGGAGAGCTAATCATGAAAAGGGGAGCCATCATTGCCTGTTGGAAGGAGCATTTTGAAGACCTTTTCAGTCGAGACTGTTTTTGACAGGAGTGTTTTTTTCCATTCTATTCCATAACATCTAGGTAGAAACGATCTTGGAATTCTCCCAGCCCTAGGCAAGGTGAGGAAAGCCATCAAACAGATGAAGAATAAGGCATCTGGAGCTGATGGAATCCTGATGAAATCTTCAAGTGTGGGGAGGGGGGATGAGTTTGTATTAGGAGGAAATCCCAGATGACCTCAGCCATGCCATGATTGTTCCAATCTTCAAGAAAGGAGATGGATCTAACTGTGGAAATTACAGAAGGATCACCTTGCTGTCCGCCTCAGGAAAAGATCATTGTGAGAACCCTCCTTGCTGAAGAGCTTCTCCTGGAATCTCTTTGGGTTTAGGGCATCATGGCACAACTGATATGATTTTCACTGCTCAGAAACTTTTAAGGAAAAATGTGAGGAACAGCATAAACCTCTCTCCGTGGCCGCATTTGACCTCATGAAAGGCGTAGACTCTTGTCAACTTGGAAGCGCTGTGGAGGATCCTTCTGAAGTACAGATGCCCACTGAAATAGATCACCATTTTTTGCCTGTTGCCTGAGGGTATGTGAGTGGTGGTTCTCAGTAACATACCTGTCACAGGTCCATTTGAGGTTAAGATGGGAGATAAGCAAGACTGTGTCATTGCTCCAGTACTCTTCACAGTATTCCTTACTGTGATGCTACATCTGAAAACCAACAAGCTTCTGGCTAAAGTGGAGCTAAACTACAAATGGGTGTTTAAACTGTTTAGTCTCATCTGACTGAGCCAAAACCACGAGCACCCCAACTTCAAAAAGAGTTCCAGTACACTGATGATGCTGTAGTGTTTGCTCACTCTGAAGCAGACCGTCAGGCAATCACTGATGTCTTTACGAAGGCATACAAGAAAATGGGACTGACACTTATCTTTTAGAAGATTTAGGGTCCTCCACCAACCAGCGCTTAATGAGCAGTCCCCACCGCCAGTCACTCAGGTTCCGGTGGGAATCTGGAGAGTGCTGAGTATTTCCTGTACTTTGTCAGCCTTCTGTGAGAGATGGCTTCCATCGACACAAATCCAGCATTGCCTTAAATGTGTAAGTGTGGCCTTCAGACGCCTGAGGAAACAGGTGTTTGAAGATTGCGACATCAGTTGGAAAACCAAGCTTATGGCTTCTCGAACAGTCATGATCTCCAGTATGGAGCTGAGACGTGGACAACATGCAGGAAACGTCTCAAGTCTCTGGAGAAGTACCATCATCACTGCCTGCAGAAAGTATTTCAAATCCAGTGAGTAGACAGATGTAACAACATTAGCATCCTCTCGCAAGCAAGTGCTGCAATCGTAGAGGTGATGATCTTCTGACATCAACTTCCCTTGGCAAGCCACATCATCCAGATGCCCAACTCTGGACTCCTGAAGCAAGTTTTATTCTCCCAGTTCAGTCAAGGGATATATTCAAGAGGAGGACAGAGAAAGTGCTTCAAGGATGTCTTCAAAGCCAACTTGAAAAAATGCAACACTGATATCAATTCATGGGAGGCAATCACCCAGGACCACCCCAGATGGAGGGGAGAGTCTGCTGCAAGGACCTCATAGTTTGAAACCTTCTGATGACAACAGGAGGTAAAAAAATGGGAGCAGTGGAAACAGCGTGTCATGGACCAAACCAAGAACCCAGAGCCATCCACCCTGCATGGAAATGTGTGCCCAAGCTGCAGCAGAGTCTGTTGTACCTGGATAGGCCCCATCAGCCATTTTCAGACCCACAAATAAGACAGTCATGAAAGAGGGTCATCCTTGACTGCAAGGATTGCCAATGATACTTATTACCAGCAACTCCAAGAAGGCTCATTTTAAGAGGACTGTCTGCTGCTATCTGCAGATAATAAATTTATAACTAATATGCATTTACAAACATGCATATTATTCTTGGGCTATTTTTTAATTGTAAGGATGCCATCTTCAGTGTTGACAGTGTTGGCCTAACTCTTCTCATTGAAGGTCCATATGAGATCTTCCACTGACTTCAGTAGCAGCAGAGGTTGCCCAGTCCTGCAGTGCTTGCTCAGTCAGTCTGAGCAAAGTAAACACAGCTTTCTTTTTAAGGATAGTGAGAGAAGGGCTGCTCTTAATGTGAATTCCTATTTGTTGGCTTGGGATTAGAGAATATTCAGTCAGAAGATCCTAACTTCACTCCATGGGTGAAGCCTCTTTAAAAAACTCGTATTTTCTCAACAGGATTCCTTCTTACAGTGTAGGTGAGATACAGCCATATGTTCTAAGAATGATTTTTTTTTTTAATGGTTAGGTCCTTTCCTCCTTACGGAACTGAATTGTTGGGGGATGGATACAAAATATAGGGGATATAATTTCTTTTATTTTTAAATAATTTGTGCATTTTTGTAATCCAGGTACAGCGGGAATTAGCAGATAGGGAAGCTAATACTATGCCTTTTCATCCATTTGAAACTCAACAAGTAAGTAAATATATAATTTCTTCAGGCACTTTTTTTGAGAATATTTATGTAATAATCAGTAGCCTAATGGAAAGTGAAGACTTTATTAATTCAGTACCTAACTGATTAAAAACCCTTGCATTTGATTTTTTTTTTTTAAGTTCTATTTTATTACTGCTTTTAATATAGGATTCTTCATATGTAGAAGGGACATTTTAGAGCACCAAAATTGCTTCCAAACTATATTAAAATGTAACCAAAAACTTAAACTTGAGATAAAAGGGCTAACAAAGTGGAAACAATAAGGTTGATTATGAAACAGGTCTGAGCATGATTGGCAAAAAGACATGTCTCTAAAAAGTTAGATCAATCAGTTATATCAATCAGATTCATGCAGTGTGATGAAGAAGGAAGCTGCATTTTCAGAGTTCAAGTTCTTAAATAATTCAGCTGTTGCAGCCAATAACCTTCATAATGCTTCATTTCCAACAATCCCAGACTAAGTCTAACTAAATACTCCACCATCTGGTTGTGGGGGGCAGAGGTAGAAAGCTCAAGTTGGTAAAGACACATGGCAGTGCGTATCCACATCAGGAGGAGAATGGCTCTAATTTTTCATTGCTAGATCCATGCTCATCATCATAGCTGGTTTCTTGAATGGGGAATATTTCCTAGCTTTTATCTACAAAATTCTCAAACTTTGGGTCATAGTTCATGTTAAATTTTGCCTTTAACATGTTGTGAATTTGTTGCTTTCTGAATGAGTGCTGTAACAAAAACTTTGATAACCTACTTTTTCAGGGAGATATTTTACGTATGGCAAAAGAACATCAAGTATTACAGAAGCAACTAAAGGAAGCAAAAGAAAAATATGAGCAGCTGCAATGCCGAAGCACAGAAGAAACCAGTGTTTTAAAAGAGCAGTTAAAAAAAAATGTTGAAGAAAATAAGGTAATAGTTAAACATGGCTAATAAGGGTACAAAGACCAATTGCAGTACAGTAGCTTTAGGGAGGTGATTGTTCAACAGAGATGTAAGTGGTAGTCACCACTACAAAGCTTACATAAGTGGCTCCAAATTTTATTAGTTTCTGTATTATCTTAACATTTTTATGAAGTCAGCATGTGGAACAATAAGTTTTTATACCCCAGCTTAGAAACGTGGCCCACAGTTCAACAGCAACCACTTCTTGGGTGCCTATGCACATGCAGCAAGGCTGCTCCATTGCGATGCAATTACAGCACATCAGAGCAGACTCTTTTCTGCTGAAGCATGGTAATTACCATGCTCCAGAAGACTGGCATGTGTGTACCAGCATCCCCACACTGAAAAATGGTGGCAGGAGTGCTTTAAAGCTTATTCAGTGAGCTTTAGTTAAAGTGCCCCACTGCCATTTTTCAGTATGGGGACACCAATACATGAGAGGTTCTAGGTGCTTTAATTAAAAAGAGTATTGAAGCTGCTCTAGTTAAAGCCCCACCCCCAAGGTATATGTATAAACGCCCTTTATGCCTAAACAGCAAAACATATTTAATTTTCATGAATGATAATGAAGACTCTTAAATACTGGCCTGAACCAATGTTCTATTTTACTTCCATCAACTAGGAAAGGTTTGTTTTTTGATTTGGTACCTTTGCTCTACCTGATTATGTAGAAATAATTGTTTCTCATTCAAGAAATCTCTCTTCTAAATATTTTCTGCCTTTAGATTTCAAAGAGAGAACTGGATTGGTTTCATCAAGATTTAGAAACAGAAATAAAGAAGTGGCAGCACGAAAAAAAAGAAAATCAAGAGAGATTAAAAGCAATAAAGAGTGCAGCCAAAAGGCAGGCAGATACCAATGAAATGTGAGTATTCCTTTTGAAAACTGACTTTCTGCTTTTCATTTGTATGACTTTATTAATGGGATTAATTCCTTCATAATATTGAAATTTACTGTATTAGTCTGCTAGAAATAAACCATTTTAGATCTTGATTCTGTAAGACAAATGAATAACATAATTTTATGTAAAAGTTCTGATTCTGAGATCTACTAAATCATTGATAAGGACTAGCTTAGTAACAGGTATGGGGTGGAAATACATGGATATTTTGTCACTGTTTGTAGATGGACTTGTTTCCTAAAAGCTTGATTCTGCCAGCCTAAAAAAGTTGTACCTCACTTTGCAGTTAAACCTACTGATAGTGACGGGGATGGAAGAAAAGAAAATAATATTTTAATTTTGCTAAATACAGAATTATAACTTGTTAAAGCTATATACTATATGTGTTACAGAAAAATATGCATAAAGACTTCACTTCTCAAACCATACATGTTGTATTTGCTTGCTTGTAATGCTTGTAGGTATCTGAGGAATATTGAGGAGGGGGACAAACAGTATAAAGTTATTTTGGAGGAGTTCCTTGAGATCAGGTAAATTTGTGTTAACTGTTTTGCATCACCAATACAGTGGTATTTGATTGTCCTGTTAACTCATTTTATTAGGGTTGTTCTTATCTTAATGTTGGTGTCCGTTGCTCTAAATGTACAAGAACAATTATGAGTGTCACATTTGAATACAAAATGCCTTATTCTTTGCCTTAATGCCTTTGCAAAATAAGGTATTAAGTTTATTTAAAATGTAGTAAATAGTATCTTGTTTTATTTAATTTAATACCAGTTGTGGAGGGCCCCCCTAGTGGTTACTGTTTTTTAAAAAGGTCTGAAAAGAGCTGCTTGTACTTTACAAGATCCAGCAGCATAGTTTATTAAGTATCTATCATCTCTATTTTACAAGAGTGTATCAGGCTTTGCATTAGGTTTTTAAGTTATATGCAAGTATTACTATACAGACTACGTTTAATACTAAATCAAAATGTAATGTACTTAATGTAAAATGACCACTTAGAACCAATTAAACAACTTTTTACACTTGTGTGTACCATAATCTTGACTTAATTTAGGATCACATATTTTAACTATCCACATATGGAATAATACTGAGGGCTTTTTTGTTTGGTCTAAAGCTATGAGCACAGACCTTCAGTTTCTACTGGGAGAAGCTCCACTCTCCTTTTAGTTCTCTCTGCCTCTTGTTTTCCAGCTGTAGTCTGGGCACAGCTTCCAGCCAGTGGGGAGCTATAACCACATCAGGAAGCTGAGTACACTACTGCTTCTCCCCATGCCCCCAACTCTGGGCTGCAGCATGAGTGCAGCTGGAAACTGCCTGGCCTTGGTGCACCTTCACACAGGCTGGAAGCTGTGCCCATGCCACAACCCAGGGTGAAGGAGGTGAGGGAGAGAAGTGGCAGCAGCCTGGCCCCTGTGCAGCTTCTCACTTGCCAGTCCCGGTGTGGGCATGGGCACAGGCAAAGCCCTCCAGTTTGGTGGGCCAGATTTGGGCCATGGACTGTATGTTGCTGACCTCTGCTGAAGATCATTAGGTGCATGTCACTAAGTCCACATACAGGTTTGTGTACATTGTTCCATTTCCTACTTTGCTTTTGGATGTTGGAATATGAATCTTCCTCTCTACAACTCCCCCAATCTTGCCCATCTTTTTCATTTCCCAACCAGGTTTTCTTTTGGAACTGTCAGGAGATCATAGTTTTGAGAAATGGGTTAAGTGCTTCCGTGTAATAGAGGGACTACCTTCTACTTGGAGTTATAGCAAAAACATGGCACTGTGAAAATTAAGAACAAGACTTTAGGTTTATTTTTTAAACAAATTAATTTAGATTTGAGGACTCATTCACACTGTCATCTCTCTGTAGAAAGTGATCAGTGATGTGTATTTTAGTAGAAGAGAGAACTTTTAAAACCTTATTTTTTAAAAAGAATATGTAAATTGTAGTTTTTGTTCATGTATATTTTTAAACTTTAATTTTTCTTTAACTTCATAGTAATAAACTTGCAAATGAGAAAGTAAAACTGGAAGAGCTTATAAAAAAGAGCAAAGATCAATACCAAGAGTGTGCCAAAAGAACTGTCGCAGCAGAGGTAAGGAAAAAAATAGCTATGCTAGACTTTTTTTTCATTTGCATTATACCTTGTTTGTGGGAATTGTTGAATCTGCTCACGTCTCAGCATAAGTTTAATAGACACTTCTGGTGATTTCATTACAATTAGAAAATGACTTGCACACCATTTTAAAGTATGCCTAAAAGCCTTACCGTAATTTAATTAAAGAATAGGCTTGTTATATTTGGTATGTGATCCAAAGCTTTTGTCTACTTAATTGCAAATTATCAAGATTGTTTTATTTAAGTATTGTAGTAGTGGTTTATTGCTTGGGCCAAACTAATGTTGTCAGAAAATTAAAACAAAATAGGGTCTAATACTAAATGATAATTGCAATTTAAATACTTCCTGTGTCTTAAACTCCATGGCCTGTGTACATTGAGTGTGCACACTGTTCCCGTTAGTGGGATTACAGTATACTCTATTTAAGTATGTAGGCTTAGAAGTGAAAAACTAGCAGCTATCTGAAATATGCACTTATTCAAACTTAAGGTGAGCAGTTTTCAGTAAGCATGCAGTGCTAGTAACACTATACTAATGCCCTGAAACTGACTAGCTTCCCTAATTTTCAAGGCTTCTAATAGTTTCAGTGGCCTTGAAAACGAAGAGAGAAATTAGCTGTGAAATTTAATAGCTTCCATCATTTTCAAGGTTTCTAGTATCAGCCCTTTGACAGCTGCCTCCCTGCACTTTCTGGTTTAGTAAAAGGCAGTAAAATTAGTTGCAAAAGCGATGGATGCAGTTACTATGCAGGTGGGGGTGTGGCACTCTACATTAAGGAGGAATACACATCCTCATCAATTAATAAAGAATCAGAGGAAGGGAACTCTGAAGTGCTTTGGGTTAGATTACAGGGCAGTCAAGGGGAAAGAGACTTAACAGTGGGGGTCTACTACAGACCTCCCAACCAAGGGGAAGAGCTTGACCAAGAATTCTTAGGTCAGCTCACAGAGGTAGTGAAGTCTAAGGATATGGTAGTCATGGGGGACCTGAACTTCCCGGACATCTGCTGGGAAGAGCAATCAGCCAGGTCTGACCACTCACGTAGGTTCTTAGCCAGAATGCAGGACCTCCATCTAACCCAGGAGTTGCACAGCCCCACCAGGGGAGATGCCTTGTTGGACCTGGTGCTGGCCACGGGAGATGACCTGGTGAGGGGGCTGTAGGTGCTCGACCACCTGGGTGACAGTGATCATCGCCTGCTGGAATTCACCATCCAGCGCAAGGTGGCAAAGGCCTGCAGCAAGGCAGCAGCCCTAGATTTCAGGAGGGCAAACTTCACCGAGCTAAGGACACTAGTCAGGGATGCACTGAGCTCCCAGAGGGGAGGGGAGCTAGGTGTCCAAGGAGAGTGGTCACTCTTCAAGGAGACGATCCTCCAAGCCCAAAGAGAGGTAATCCCAGCGAGGATCAAAGGGAGCAGGAGGGCACACAAGCCCCCATGGCTCACCAAAAGCATCCAGGAATGTCTTCTAGCTAAAAGGGAGGCGTACACCCAGTAGAAAAGAGGGGACATCACCAGGGATGACTATACTGCAGTTGCTTGGGGATGTAGGGGGGCAGTCAGGAAGGCCAAGGCAGAGATGGAACTGGGACTAGCTTCCCAGATTAAGGACAATATGAAGTCCTTCTTTGAATACATAGGGGGTAAAAAGAAGGTTCCGGGTAATGTGGGGCCCCTGCAGGGCACATTAGGAAACTTGGTTGTCGCACCAGACGATAAAGCCAACATATTTAATGATTTCTTTGCCTCCATCTTCCTTAAGCAGGGACTGGAACAGCCACCCCCTGGCTGGGCTTCCCTCAGGCCCCAGGGGAGGCACACCTGGGCCAAGGGTTAAGTGGGGAACTAGTTAGAGAGCTTCTGGAGGGACTGGACGTATTCAAGTCAGCCGGTCCAGAAGATCTCCACCCTAGAGTACTAAAGGAATTGGCGGAGGTCATTGCAGGACCCCTGGCG